ATTTTTGCCACGCTGTAAGCTGCCTTGAGAATATTTTGAACAGCAGAAAAGCGGCATGCAAATAAAATGAAGTATGTAATTTTCTAGAGGGATTCAAATATTGCTTGCTGCCGCTTTGGACAGCGCTGACGGGTGTGGGTGGCTTTAAATGGAGAGAGAGCAGAAATTCATGGCAGACAAAAGAAGCTATGCATAGCTACTAGCTGGATTAGGACCTGGGAGACTCGCGTTCCAATCCCCGCTAGGCCATGAAGCTCGCTGGGTGTCTTAGGGCCAGTCACTGCCTCTCAGCCTAACCTACCTTGCAGGGTTGTTGTGAGGATTAAATGAGGGGGATTAAAAGATGGTATATGAAATAAATAAATAAATAAATAAGTGCAAACGGGCATGTTTGGCTGCCACTTGTCGGAGTCAGTAGTCCCTGAATACCAGTCGCTGCAGTTGCAATTTCTCCTGCAATGGAAAAGGTCATTGTTTGCCTGTTCGGATGATCATGGCAGAAGGTGGTGATCCAAAGCACACTTACATGGGGGAGAGTTACCCTCCCAAGTAACACTATCAGATCAAGGTGTTAGCGCTGGCTCCAGGCCAGCACCTCCCCTCCTTCTAAAGCTCTTGGGAGGCCAGAGAGTGTGGCTGGAATCTCTGCCTTTCAAATTTTCAGTCTAGGAACAGGTAATGGTAGGGTTGAAATAATCCCTCTGAGCCACATCAGAGATTCCACAGTTAATTCAAGCATGTATATGGATGGGGAACAGGGAGGGAAGGAGGAGCAGCACATCAAAGGCACCAATTAGCAGGGATCTAGTAATCTCCCAACGCAAAAGGAAACATATAGAAGGATTTAACCAAAAGCTTCAGGGAAAAAAAGCCAGGCAGCAGCTCACTCCAAGTACCTAAACTCAGACCCTGTGAAGTTAGAAAACAATTTTTACTTGACATGCATTAAAAGCTTCTGTACCAGGAGGAGGTTAAGTCAGGATAGCAACGAGATTCTAAATTGTGAACCTATTTGTAGTTGCTACGTGAGATAATCCAGGCAGGTGTCAAACAAAAACCTTGCACCCAAATACTGTACAACCTGATGCTGAGTTTGCTGCTTCCAGACAATCCAGGTATTTTCACCTGTGCTCAACCCAAGAAGAGACTCATCTGCACGCACTATTGACCCCCCCCCATGAAAGTGCCCCCAAGTTACCATTTTCTTTTCTCCCCCAAGTTACCACTGGGCCTCAAGGTGACAAGGGGAGCCAGTAACATCTAGAAGGCAGGGACCAGACCTAGATGACAGAGCACCTGCTGTGCATGCAGAAGGCCTTGGACCAATCCCTGGCATCTCCAATTAAACGAATCAGGTATCAGGTGACCAGTAAGGCACAACCCTGGAGAGCTTACTTGTCAGATCAATCAATATTGGGCTAGATGGACAAATAGCCTGGACTGGAATAAGGCAGCTTCCAATGTACCTCTCTCCCATACACACACACTCCACGGTTGTAGACAACATCATTAAGCAAAGATGGAAAGCTGATGATGCTCTGGCATTTTATTTTGAAAACATTCCTGTAAACAAGGAAGGGAATGCAAGGTAAGTAGGATGAGGCAGGTGGAATCTGCCCTGCCTTACGGGTGTGAAAAGTAAGAAGATATATTTATAGTTAAGAATTTTGGCTGGGCTGCACCAAGCAAGGCCAAGCTACCCCACCTATCGGGAAGAGTGCCACAATCAAAACGAGCATCAAGCCAAGGGGAGGTTTGCTCTTGGCGAAACCAATTGTGCAATTTTCAAATTCCAAAGCACTCTTCCCCTTGGTCGCTCCAGACCAAGTGCCCTGGGGCGAGAGGAGGGGAGAGAAAATCTACCCCAATGGAGAAAGTGCAATTCGAAACTAGAAGCCCCATGAATGTTTAATGCTTATTTAGCGCCAGCCAAGGCAAAGTGGGTGCCATACAGGGCCCATCGTCATCTGATGAAATTCTACTTGTGACATCACACCTTACAGAATATCACAGGGCTGTGACCCCAAAACGGTCGTATTTTTCACTGCTGCCCCTGTACTTTGGAATATGAAGCCGCAACCGTCAGTCGACGTCTTGTAAAGACAGATCTTGTTGCCCAGACTTTCCCTAGGCCATAACATAGACTCTGCTTTAATTTGACTCTTCTTTATATGCTTTTATACTACTGTTTTACTGGTTCTATGTAGTATTTTTCTTTTCAGTGATACGGTTATTGCTTTGTACAGTGCTTAGATATTTTATAAATGCTTTGGAATTAAAATAAGTGACAGGTATAGCCTCCGCAGCCAGACACAGGCCATGAAGTAGGCAAAATGAACTGGGGAGAGGAGGAGAGGTTGCAAAATGACAGATGGCGGGAGCCAAGGGAATTAAAGAGGGAGTGGCAATGTACATGCAAGGGGAGACTTTAAAGCACTGCTGACTCCTGCACAGAACACAATTTGCCCTGAGCTATCTATGCAGGAGGTTAAGCCGGGAGGAGTGTAAACAGTAACAGCCTGCATCCCTTGGATCCTACTGAAAATCCTCCATGGACAGAAAGGGAGAAACAAAAGTAAACACAGTGAGGCACACTCTGGGCTCTGCCATCAGCCAGGTAATCTAGAGAGCCACTGGGAGGCTGCACTTTCTGCTTCCAAGGAAGAACCATCAGGGCAAGAGGGAGACCAATTGGACCCCATCCCTTGCCCAGTGAAGGAGCAGCTGGTCCAGTGCTTGCTTTCCTCTGCCCTACCCATTAATTTTTCTTTTTGTATCATGTCTGCTAGGCATGTGTGCCTGCACAATCTTTTGATATATGCGCATAGCAACATAAGAAGCTGCCTTATATCAAGTCACACGATTGGCCCATCTAGCTCAGCACTGTCTTTATATATTGGCTGGCATTGGCTCTCCCTGGAAGTGTCAGGGATTGAACCCTTTCGATGCAAAGCATGAACTCTGTTTCTGATCCACCAATTTTAAAAATTTAGGTGCTTGATAAGCTAATTATGCAATACTTCTAAAAACAATAAATTAACAAAACAGCAACAGAACTAAGAACAGTTCTTCACCAATAGGGAAAAGCCACATTTGCTAGGAAATGGAAATACACTAGGCATGGGGAACCTGGATCCTAGATATTGTTGGACACCAACTCCCATCAGCCCCAACCACACACAGTCAGGGATGATGGGAGTTGGAGTCTCCTAATAACTGGGAGGGCCACAGGTTCTTCATACTTCAGGTAAAGAATCCATTCAGAAAACAGCTACCCTAATCCCCAAATCACGTCAGGTAAGAGTTTTAACTCAAAACAGTTGCAACAAAATGCATCTGAAGCACATTTACACCACAGTCTCTCACAGAGCTGCTACTACAGCTCCCAGGATTCTCTAGAGGGAAAATGTGCTTTGAATGTACAGTGTTTAAATGACCCTTTAGATAAATAGCAATACCTACTTTGCTTGTGGAGGAGGCACCTACACCTCGTCCATGAAGGACAAGGGTATTGGCAGCTCCTAGCCACCACGAGCCGCTGTGATAACAGGATGCCGGACTAGACAGACCCTTGGGCCTGAATCAGCATGGTGATTCTTATCAGAACCAGATACTGGGCAAGTGGAGAAATATCAAAAAGAGTAAACAGAAAACTTCATAAACACACAAGTTACCCAAAGACTGATAAGATAAGAGCTAAAATTCTGGATCAGAAATAACACACACACAACGCAATTGTTAAAATATTGATTTTTTTTCATGGCAAGGAGATCTCTTCTCTGGGGCCAAGTGGAACTGGGACCACATAACCACATACATACAAGATTAAAGTGGAACCAGCTTTTGATCATTGTGGCTCTTCAGAAACACTACCTGCCAGGTAAAAAAAAAGGTACTGTATATTTTCCAGTGTTTTTGCAGAAACTAGAGGGGAGGGGGCACTAAGAGTCAAGGTAACATTATTTCCCTGAGAACAGTCCTCTAAAGCAGAGGGTGGGGATCTTGCTGTGCCCCCCCCCATTCCAGTCCCCATCATCTCTGACCATTGGACATGCTGGCTGCTGCTATGGCAAATGGGACTTGGAGTCCAACAACACCTGGCAGGCCACAGCAGGATCTCCTGCCCCCTCCTCCAAAAGAAAAATGCCCCTCTAAAAAGCAGACCACTTCATCTTGTTTTTCATAAAACCCTGAACTGCACAAAACGCAGCTTTCACACAGCGCCTAATTCATTCTACTGAGTCTCCGCCCCGCGCCCCCCCCCCTTGTTATTCCGGCTCTCCCTGAGTCACAGGGCCGGCTCTACAAGTCAAACCTCACCTGAAAGCGGCAACATGTGCTGAGGCTCCGACAAACAGACACACACTCCCGATTTCCAAGCACCCTCCATTACTACCGACGTCTTCCGATTACTGGTCTCATTTAAGGAATTATTGCTATTTAGTATACAGGGTTGCATCTATCCGAGTTCTATTCAGATTAAATTAATGAACCAAAATTAGGCATATCCATTAACCTCAGTGGGTCTACTCCAAGTAGGACATCAGGGTAAGCCACTTTGCTTATAAAACGTTGGCGTTTCGCACCATGTTCTCTGTTTAACAAATTAAACGAATGCCTTGAGATTTACCAGCTCTCTCGCTTCGCCACCACAGCACCCAACCGAAGAGACCCACTCGTCTCCCTTAGTCCCAGGAGGCCATTTTTTTTTAATAACCTCGTTTTAGGAGGCCAGTCCTCCTCAGCGCCCCAACCGCGAGGGACCCCCCCTGGACCGGCACCAACTGCGCCCCGAGAAGCCCCTTCTCCCCCGCCCCCGACCCTGAGTTAGGCACCTGGGCGGTGTCAGAAATGGCACCGGCCACGTGCTCAACGCAGCCCCTTCTCTAGCTCCCGCCCCGCTTTCCGAAAGCGAGGCTCCCTCCGCACTTCGCCCGGCGTGCCCCTGAGCGCGTACAGAGTGCCTCGGAGGACGGCGCGCGCCGGGCCCGGATACTTACGGACGCAGAGGCAGGCGACGAGCTTGGCGGCGCCGATGGGGACGGGGCAGGCGGGGAAGATGGGCTTGAGGAGGTAGGTGGCGAAGACGAAGGCGACGATGTACTGCGAGGAGGGCCGGATGATGAGCAGCTCGATCCAGAGCTTGAGGAAGGCCGGCAGCGAGCCGTAGACCTCCAGCATGTAGGCGTAGTCGCCGCCCGACTTGGAGATGGTGGTGCCCAGCTCGGCGTAGCAGAGGGCGCCCACGATGGAGAAGACGCCGCAGGCCGCCCACACCACCAGCGACAGCCCCGGCGAGCCGGCCTCCTTCACCACCCCCGTGGGCGTCACGAAGATGCCCGAGCCGATGATGGTGCCCACGATGATGGCCACGCCGTTCAGCAGCGTGATGTTGCGCTTCAGGGCCACGCCGGGCGAAGACGGGTCCTCGCCCTCGGCGCCCGGAGACGGCAGCGGCGCGCAGCCGTTCTCGTGAGCCTCCGGCCCCGCGTCGCCGCCGCCGCCCGCCGCCCCGGACAGCATCTGCTTCTTCTCCTCCTCCTCCGGCGGCGGCCCCGACGAGGCGGCCGAGCCGCGCTTCTTCACCACGCCGCCGGCGCCGGACATGGCGAGGCCGGCTTGGCGGATGCTGCTGAGGCTGCTGCTGCTGTTGGCTCACCCGAGCCTGTTTGTGCAACCCGAAGCTCCTCGCTCGCTTGCTTGCTTGCTTGCTTGTTTGCTCGCTCGCTTGCTCGCTGGCTTGTCAGCCCCGGCACGAGCAAAGCGCGCGACACGCCGGCTCCCTCCGCCGCCTCTGGCACCCTGAACGGCGGCGCCCTCTTCGCGGGCCCTTTTTATGGTGCCGGCACCTCCTGCTGGAGGGTGGGGAGAATGAATGGGAGGCCGGCCCGGCCCCTCCCCAACACGTGCTGGCCGCGCCAGAAAGAGGGGAGACTCGAGATCACCCCCGTTTGGCTGGGAGGAGGAAGGGCGCCTGACAGGAGCCCCAGAGAAGCAGCCGCGGGGCCGTGCGGGAAGAAGGGACTCGGTGCATCCTGGCACCGGCCGCTTCAAGCCGGTTCTGGATCGCTCCGCAGAGCCATTGCAAGGAAGGAAGAGGAGAGGTGGCAGCTGGCGGCGGGGCTCCTTTGATCGGATGCAAAGGAGCGCACCGCTGGGGGAAAGCGAGATCCCCACGGGCCAAGCCGAAGGCAAGAGAGCGCCTTCTCGTGCCCTTTTAGAGTCCCAAGGGTGGCTTTACGCATGCACTGGGCGGGGACTGTTTACGCTGCCTGGTGCTCTCCTTGCCTTTGCGAGGTTGCTTCCAAGCGCCTTAAAGCCTCGAAGGAACAGAGGGCGCCAGTGCAGCGCGCCAGCAGGAAGCAGCTTTCCATCTGGCTGCCGCTTCTTACTGACACGTGGTCTTATATACAGACGTTTCTTGCTAACACGTTTTGTATGCAACTCCCCGCCCCCCGTGGAAACTATGCAGGCAGGAAAAGTGTAGCTAATGTAGATGTGCAAAGCCATTCTGACTGACCCAAAATGTAGAGAGCATCCAGAGACAGTTCTGCTTGAATGGCATCATGGCTCCGATGCCACCATCTTTTTCTTTTTTGGCAGAGTTAAGTCCTGGCCAGTTTCCTTTTTTTCAAAGGTCGTCTGTGGGCAGGTCTCAGCAGCCTTTGGGTTTTGAATATTTGCTTGTGAGAGAAGGGCTCGCCTCACCTTTTAAAATTTGTACGGAACTGAGTGAGTGAAGAATAGCAGCAGTGGCTGGTGCCCATTGGGACTGGCAGGATAGAAGACAGAGATGCCATCAGTTGGCAAAGCCAGGCCCTGTGGGAGGCGGAGCCAGAGCCAATGAGGGACAGAACCAATTCTAGTTTTAAACCTATTTTAAGTCTATTCCACTGTGAAATAGTTCTTTCTGGCAGAAAGTTCTTCCTGGTGTTTAGTCAAAATCTCATTTCTTGTAAATTGAAACCATTGGTTAAGGTCCTAGTTTCCAGAACAGGAGAAAACAAGTTTTCTGCATCTTCCATATGACAGCTCTGTAGATACAGTGGTGCCCCGCAAGACGAAAAACTCACTAGACGAAAGGGTTTTCCGTTTTTTGAGTCGTTCCGCAAGACGAATTTCCCTATGGGCTTGCTTTGCAAGACGAAACGTCTTGCGAGTTCTTGCGAGTTTGTTTCCTTTTTGTTAAAGCCACTAAGCCGTTAATAGCCGCTAAGCCGCTAATAGCCGTGCTTCGCAAGACGAAGAGACTCGCGGAACGGATTAATTTCGCCTTGCGAGGCACCACTATCTGGAAATATCTATCCTATATCCTCTCACTCTCTTCCAGGCTAAACATACCCAACTCCTTCAACTGTTCCTCATAAGGCTTGGTTTTCAGACCCGTTATCATCTTGGTCACCTTCCCCTACACACGTTCCAACTTATCAATATGCATCTTAAATTGTGATGTCCAGAATTGGACACAGTACTCCAGGTGTGGTCTGGCCAACACAGTGGGACTATGACTTCCCTTGATGGGGACACTAGACTTCTGTTGATGCAGCCTAGAATAGCATTAGCTTCTTTTGCTGCTGTATCACATTGTTGACCCATGTTAAGCTTGTGGTCTATTAAGATTCCCTAGATCCTTTTCACCTGGCAAGCCAGGTATCCCCCATCTTATATTTGTGCATCTGGTTCTTCCTGCCTAAGTGTAGAACCTTGCATTTGTCCCTACTGAAATTCATTTTGTTAGTTTGGATCCAGTTGGGTCCAATCCATTAAGATCATCTTGAATCCCTATGCTGTCTTCTGCGCCACTGGCTATCCCTCCCAGTTTGGTGCCATCTCCAGATTTGATGAGCATCCCCGCAACACCTCCACATCCATTGCTTCACACGCTTCTGCCTTTGGCCCTGCCACCATAGGCAAGCAGTCCCCAGAAGGATGTCCATGTCTGAATGCTGCAAAAGGTTACCCTCCCCTGATTTAAAATGTCGACTTGCATCATGTGAAGAAAGCTCACAAACGCCCCAGTTTTAAATAAAAGTTTTTTGCATCAGAGAGCAATGTCATCCTCCTTAGATCACCAGTGTGGTGGCCTGGCTTGCTACAGACAATGTTATACATGTTAAAGAACAGCAACTTTGACAAACATTCAGAGTTGTCTGCATAGTCTCCCTATCTAGGCTCAAAGGTAGGCTACCATCTCAGTCCTTGTAAAATAACCAGGCTGGGCTTCAGTTCTTAATACACAACATCCAGGCTACTGGAGTTCATCCTTATTTTGGGGCTTTTCCATTATCAGCTCCTGCCCCCTAGTGGACTCAATGCTCTAAGGATCATCATATTGACGTCCACACCACACGTTTAAAGCACTCTGCTCCCTCCAAAGAGATGGACATGGTCTCAAGGCACAGGCTCATTGGGGAATCTCCTGCCTATTACCTGAGGGATGGAGAATCTGCAGAATCTAGAGTTTTTTGGACTCCAACTCATAACACAGGATGAACCTGCTAGATCAGCCCAATGGCCCATTTAGTCCAGAATCCTGTTCTCACAGTTGCTGACCAAATGCCTGTGGGAGACCAGAAAGCAAGACATGAGCACAAACAAGTGCACTCTACCATCCTGCCATGGAGGGAAAGCTGGAGCTAAGCAGAGACCTCCTGCAGGCTTTGACAGGCTGTCGGCCATTTTCAAAGCATTCCTGGGAGAAAGCTCCCAACCTCCAGGCCTCCAACCCTCTCAAGTGTCCTGTTTGCTTCCTATCAAGCACACATTTTCTTTTTTAGTTTGACTGACATCACAGCAAAGAGCAGACTGCAGCAGGGGGTGTGCCAGACCCTCCTGAAGGGCAGAGCTAACAGCTTATTCTGGATACATCAAGCCTTTCTGCACTATTCATTATTACTGCCTTTGTGGGTTTTTTTACACATATTTGAACGTACTTGTGTGATGTTTCTAGATCTCTCTAGTCAGTAAATTAATACATACAATGATTTTTTGATATATATTTTTAAAATGTCTCTAGGAGGCGGCTGGTGGGAATGGCCTGATCCAAAAGGGCAACGTGGCCTTAGAAGCCAGTATCAGATTATGATTATTTATTACCAATCCTTCCCCAGCAGGTCCCGGGGCAGGTTACCAACAATTTAAGATGAAAAACAGTTAAAACAGATTACAATCACCAAAATAGGGTGGGCCCTGAAATTTATGTTGGGGCCAGTAACTTTTCTCTCTCTCCCAATTCAGTCCAGCGAAGATTTGCAAGCAACCATCCACGTTCCGTTCACTTCTAAGATCAAGCTGTTCCTGGCTTTTGGTTTCATTCCACTTACTCCTTTCAGTTTTTCAGAAGCAGCTCGAATGAACTTCATCTATTTAGGGGAATGGCCTGCCATATCCCCAGTGGTTCAGGGTAGGCACAAAGGCTTCCCATTTTCATTCCTCCTCCTCCTGCGAAGGCAATGGCAACCCCCATTTTATGGATGGAGAAACATATCCTGCTTGAAGTAGAAGAAAGTATACACCCTCTGAGGAGCCTGTGGCTGGCAACCATTTGAATTTGGGTCCAGCACTCTTTCCACCCGTTCACACAGTAAAATTAGATTATGTCCATTTCCAGCCATTTCAAATATATGAAACTCATTGCCTCTTCTGCAAAAGGAGAGGGGATTATTTTGCACTCGAAGCTTTGAAGTTACCACGCAGAACATAGGAGTAACAGCTCTGAGTGCCTGCCCTATTACCACTCCGGTCCTTCCATTCAGCCACGGACCCTTTGAAGAAGATTCAATTATAGAATCAGTACTCCATGTGCTAATACTCAGACAAGCGGCATTTGTCACATCAAAGGGACTCCTTGCTCACACGGCATAATTATACCTGAAGCAAAAGTGGCCCCAAGGCCAGAGATAATGCACAGGTGACTTTCAACTATCAGGATAATTGCTTTGCTCCAAAATGTAAGCTATTTACTACACACACACACACACGGTTTTACGTTCTAGCCAATATCTGGAGCTGGTCCTAGCATTCAATAGCTAATTGATTTAGATATCATCTTTATGACACAATCCTGCAGCAGACGATTTGTATAGAACAGGCACGTCCAACTCCCAAGTGACTGCAATCTACTAACAGTATAAAAATACGGGCTGTGATCTACCCATTGTCATTGCCAGGCAAAGTTGTTGAGCTTTTATGGGGGGAGGCAAAGCTGTTGTTGAGCATTTTTTTGGGGGGGGGAGGCACAGTTACTTTTCCCCTACTTCTTTAATTGGACACGATCGACCATTAATGTCCTGCGACCGACCTGTTGGACATGCCTGGTATAGAACAAAGAAGAATCTCCACTCGTCCCAGAACTTGCTTCAGTTTAGACGTATTCTGTTCTTGGAACAGCATCAGCTTTATCACAGGGCAAGGATTTGCTGGAGGGTCCCACACACCCAGAGGCAAGATGCTGCACCCAGAAGCCCTTTTGCTGCTTCACAGGCATTATGATACTGGATGGTGTAGAAGTTTCTTTCCAGACATTGATTCATAGCAGCCAGGAGTCAGGCGGAAGATTGGAGAGGGGCATTTTTGTACAGTTGCACTCAACGCTGAAAACGCAGGGAAAGAAGAGGCAGAGAATGTTTTCGCATAAGAATATCTCTCAAAAATAGGGGTCAAAATAGGAGGGAGTGGAAGAACGGGGTCAAATTATTAATATTGCTGAGGCCTAGTTACAAAGTGAGTTTGATTCCTTGCAATGCATATAACGTGGTTCCCCCATTAAAAGCAAATGGTACAGGCATTTATCAGCTTAAAGCAGAAAAACCCCTTTACCTATCACATATTTCAGAGCCATTTTATATGCAACCAGTTCTTCCATTCTGAGATGCCAAAGCACTTTTTTTTTTTTGCAGACGTATCACGATTTCTTTATATGGGCTTGTACATGCCCCCAGAATAGCTTGCAAATCAGTGCTCTCTGCTTCTCTTATCTTGAGAGGTTCAAATGCTTCTGAGCCATTTCAGAAACCTCTGGCCTAGCATTCATGAAAAGCCCTGCTTGGCTCTGGGGTCCCGCAACACTGTATTGTGCCAGCACGTTCATGCACTGCTTCTGCACGCAGCCTAGCCACTCCACTGGAAAGATGGAGGGAGGAGGCCAGGCAAACCATCCAGCCTCCATCCAGATCTCCCCCAGGAGGCCCCAGTGATTTACAGAATTTTTTTTAAAAAATGCCTAGTAGGCAGTTTGCTTGGTATTCTTTATGGTTACTGCTCAAGCGAACAGGCAAATACAATGGCATTCAAAGCACCCAGATTGCTTTTGGAGTGCATGTTTCATGCAGTCCAGAAGCATAATGAACCATTACGTTATTCTTCAGCAAGTACTGCTCTCAACACAGTGTGTTATTGTTCTTCCGTTCCAAGTACAATGCAATTCAGTAGATTTTTTATCTAGTCACCATACAATGAAACAGTTCATTTTTCCTCCCTAAAAGGAGGATAAAACTGAAATAACTTCTGGCAACAGGAGGAGAGGTTTGTAAATGCGCATTGTGTTTAACCAATCCACCAACTTAAGTGTCTGAGGTTTTTTGTTTTAGAAAACAGGTGTTAACAGCCTATATAAATTGTTTCTGCCTGGTATCCAAGCCACATGGAGACACATTAATTAAATCAGAATCACCGCATCGCACTATTACTAATTTGAAAGCAATTCATTTAGCATCATTCAGAACAAGGGGTATATATGATAGCAGATTTTATAAATACACAGGCATAAGAACAGTCAGGAAGATAAACCATTTATCAAAAAGACAAGTCAAAAAGACAACCCTGAAGTACAGAAGCCAATCCCGTTTCCTAAAGTTGTGTAAACTACCTGGCTCCTATTCTCACCAGCCTAAGTGGAATTAAAGGGTTGATGCAACTAGGTAGACCCACTGAAATTAATGGGCCCAAGTAATCATGTCCATTCATTTGAATGGGTCTTCTCTGGGTAGAACTAACATCGGCCATAACCTAAAGTTGCCACCTTCTGCAAGGTTTAAAACCATTGTGCATGCCAAACTGAGCTCCTATCCTTAGGCCAAGTGTGGGGACCCTCTAGATGTTGCTGAAGTACAACTCCCATCAGCCCCAGCAAGCTTGAAAATGGGCCAGGGATGATGGGATTTGTAGTTCAGCAATATCTGGAGGGCCAAAGCTTTTTCCACACCTGCCCTATTTAGTTACTGAGAATAGATTGGTCCAAATATATCCATACGGCTGATGCCATATTCTAATTTTTGCTATACTCAAGTTATATTTGGCACACAAGACCCACCAGCCTATGGTTGAAAAGGAGAGGACACCCTTGCAGAAAACAAGCTGTGTGCTAAAGACACTCCCTGTGGGCAAGTGGGAAACGTAAAATTAATCCCACTTTTGTATGGAGCAAAATGAGGGCACACATGTAAACAAAAACTGATGCTTGCAGAAAGTGGATTTCAGTTCACCCTATAATTTAAGTAACATGACTAATGAAGCTTGTTTTTCAAAACTACTAGAACAATTTATTTCTACTTTTGACATGTACATTCTGAAACTGTAACAGAACACTCCTCAGTACTATTACGTGATATTTGGGGGGGGGGGTCTGAAAAGGGCTGCAATGCTAAAAGCAATTGATTAATTCTGGCACATGATAAATCTCAAGATAGCTTTAGCAGAAGATGGATCCCGGATGAGGCTTGTTTCTGCTCATACAAATGCTTTGCAGGCTTTTGTTTAAAAATACAATTGAGACTTGAGATCAGCCTACAGAGTAGGGGGGAAATATATATTATAGGTGTGCTCATGCCGAAGTCTACACGTGGGAGTCCCAACCATGTCAGTAAATATATACTAATGTGTACATACACCAAAGCCCAGTCCTATGCCCATTTCCTTAGAAGTTGGTCCCGCTGATCTTAATTGAGCTCATTTCCAAGGAAGCACACTTAGGATTTCATCCAGAATCCATTTAAATCCACTGGTTTGTGGAAAGGGCTCATTCCCTGGATCTAGGAGAACTAAAACAAACACCTCTGGTAGGCACAAAAGATACAGTGAAAAATTATTTAACTGTTATAAAGTTAAAAGCTCAGAGGTAGATAGAATTGGACCGTGTGTACCAATATAAGCACAAGTCCATGCATAAAAATGTCATCTACTCATGCAAACTCTCCATTTCCTAGAGCTATGCTTTAGTTATGTCTTTCCTGGAATGTGTCCTCTTGGGGACATCTTTTGCCACCATACAGCTTATGAAACTGAGAATCTGCAAATACATATATATTGCAATAGAGAAGTCTTGATGACAAAGCTTGGAATTCTACTTGATGTATACTCTGAATGACTATTTGTAGGAGGAGTTTAAGTTAAAGCAGGTTATTGTGCTACAGAAAAAGCAGCTCATTAGAAGAGGAAAGAACCCCAAACAAACCCAATACCCTTTAAAGTAAGTGACCTTGCATCAAGATATATTCTAAACATATAAAGTGCTAATAAACATTGTATATATCCCCCCCCCTTAAAGGCGCACATGCCCCGCCTGGGGCGTTTCCTGCTGGGCATGGTGTATTTGTTCGTCTGATCTTGTTTCAATGTTCCGTCGGTGCTGGATTAGGAAAGAGGAACGGACGGTACGATCCATTATTGGCTGAAGTGGACGGAAATTGTCCACCATCCTTTGCTCTTCTTCTCCCGCAGGGGTGAAGAGCAACATCCGAAACACCTCAAGCTGGAAATGACAAAGAGCAAAGTCCAGAAAGGGTTAGGGAAGAAACAAAATTGCGCTCTCTCTCTCTCTCTCTCTCTCTCACACACACACACACACACACACCACACCCTCTAATACCCAAGTTAATGGTTCGGCTCTCTTCCAGAGCTGCTTAAGAAGAGACTGGGCCGCCCTTGGCCACCTGGAGACAAAATCCATCTCTTATCATTTGCAGCTTGTCAGCCTTTGAGAACATTATCAAATCCTAGACATTTGCAGGATGGCGGCATGCCATCTCTTAATCAAGCCTACATTCTTAAGCTGCCCCAGTTTCCAGGATTCAAACACCCAGAAGTTAGAGGCCCAGTGCAGTCACAACTATGGTTTGTTGCCTTGGCCCCAAAGATCCCAAATGTGCAACAAAAGCAACCACAGTTTATCTTAACTAGCTGAGCTCTGCACCCAGAGGCCATGCAAGACCAGGCTGCTGATAACAGGGAAGCTGCCTTAACCATGGTTTGCTCAACAACAGTTATTACTTTGTTGTTGTTCTGATTATGTTATACATTTTTAAGTTAGCTTTGTACTGGCCTTTTTTTTTCCTTAAACCCGAATTCTAATGGCCATTACAGATCTCTTCTTCTGAGTCAAAAAAGGAATGTAAGTCTTTAAATGAAAGAAAACATTAATCACATGCCACAATTTTGCAGTCAGGTTTGTGATCAATTCTTACTCATGACTCAGATGCAATGCTCAGCTTTGGCTAAAGGAAAGCAAACTATGGTTAAGCATTATGACTATACCGAGTTAGTGAATCCTGGAAAAGGAATCTAAGGAGAAAAGTGAGAAGCCCATTGCTAGAAAAGAATTCAAACATAATTTGACCCATAGAAACTGGAAAGGCCCAATGCGAGCAAGTGTTATTTTAGAGAAGGAAGGAACAGAGCTTAAAAAGAGGGAAATATTTGAAATCCCCAGGACCCAACCATGAAAGTAAATCCCACTGAGATAAGCAGGAATTGCTTCCAAATGAGAATCCGTATGATTTTGCATGTTCCAATAGTGATATTATTGTACTGCCACTGTTAGGAACAGGAAGCATTTCATTTTGTTTGTCATCAGCTGTCTGTCTCTCTCTGCACCAGACGTTGTTTAAAATGCTCATACTTGGAGCCAAATTGGATGTAATGCTCAACATGCCATTTGCAATCATGTCAGTTTACAAAACAATTAACACAGGAACTGGACAATTTTCACTGAGAGGGCTTAATCTCCCCCCACCCCACCCCACCTCACCATGATCCCAAAGCCACCCAAAAAACCCACAACCCTATCTCGCTGGAAGCTGCAATTAGCATTGGGGAGGGAAGTTTTGAGATACCAAACAAAAATTACAATTTTTTTACCCACATGGTTGCAAGTTACATGTTCGTGTCTACTAGTTTAGCTTGCAACACACACACACAAACCTCCACAATACGAAGTTTTAAAGATTTGCCTTTCCACATATAAACTCAGCCTAACAGTGCTGGATACATCTGCAGGTATTATTCAGCAGTATGTGCTTTCTATACTGCACTTGCAGAGGTGAAAATAAAGTAGAGTTGCATTCACAACATTTTAGAAGACGCCAAGCTCCTCCTAGAAAGCTTTTTCTCAGATGAGAATCTCATTCTTCCTTCTGCTTTCCCACATCCATCCCCAGCAATACACCAGCTACAGATGGCGAGTTTCCATTTGCTCTACCTGATCATCATCAACCTCTATCGCCTTCTTCTTGATGATCCAGGTGACGGACTCTGAAAGCGGCGGGGTGGTCAGAGATCCTGCGTACGTCCAATAATCAGGGCATGATGGCAACAAGCAGGACGGGTCAAATTCATCAAACTCAACGAGATCATCCTGGCAAATGCAAGCATCAGTGATTAGTCTGGGTTATTCTCTGCAATTGCTATAAAACATAGGGAACAAGCTGTGATATCATCATGATTAAGGTTTTAAATGACACTTCAGGTTATATTTTAGTAAGTAAGATCTAATTTATACAGTGGTACCCCGCAAGACGAACGCCTCGCAAGACGGAAAACCCGCTAGACGAAAGGGTTTTCCGTTTCGGAGGCGCTTCGCAAAACGAATTTCCCTATGGGCTTGCTTTGCAAGACGAAAGCCCATAGGGAAATCTCCGGGACAGCGGGGAAGCGCAGCGCGTCTTCCCCACTGTCCTCGGACCTCCTCCCGCCGCCCGGCTTCGGAACGAAGCTCCGAAGCCGGGCGGCGGGGCGGGAACGCCTCCTCCCGCCGCCCGGCATCGGAACGAAGCTCCGAAGCCGGGCGGCGGGGCGGGAACGCCTCCTCCCGCCGCCCGGCATCGGAACGAAGCTCCGAAGCCGGGCGGCGGGGCGGGAACGCCTCCTCCCGCCGCCCGGCATCGGAACGAAGCTCCGAAGCCGGGCGGCGGGGCGGGAACGCCTCCTCCTGCCGCCCGGCATCGGAACGAAGCTCCGAAGCCGGGCGGCGGGGCGGGAACGCCTTCTCCCGCCGCCCGGCATCGGAACGAAGCTCCGAAGCCGGGCGGCGGGGCGGGGACGCCTTCTCCCGCCGCCCGGCATCGGAACGAAGCTCCGAAGCCGGGCGGCGGGGCGGGGACGCCTTCTCCCGCCGCCCGGCATCGGAACGAAGCTCCGAAGCCGGGCGGCGGGGCGGGGACACCTTCTCCTGCCGCCCGGCTTCGGATGGCTTTCCTGAAGACTTGGGGTGGCAGGAGGGTTTTCCTTCCCACCGCCAACATTCAGAATGCTGTTCTGAATGTTGGCGGTGGGGAGGAAAAACCCTCCTCCCACGCAAGCCCCGGGAACAGAGGGAAAGCGCTGCGCGCCTTCCCCTCTGTTCCCGTACCTGTCCTGAAGGCTTGCGGTGGGGAGAAAAGCCCTTCTCCGCACCGCCAGCCTGGCAAGCGGTTTCCCTAGGAACGCATTAATTGATTTTCAATGCATTCCTATGGGAAACCGTGCTTCGCAAGACGAAAAACTCGCAAGAAGAAAAAACTTGCGGAACGAATTAATTTCGTCTTGCGAGGCACCACTGTATATTTTAACTGCTGCTATATCTGTACTGTCCCTGTTATACCGAACTGGTAATTTAAATGTATCCCTATTGTGTTTCATGACTTCCCTGATTTTGTATGTGAGCTGGAACTGGTCTGTGACCGAAATAATAAATTCATTCAGTCTGGATTATTTGTGATGGGATCCTCAGCTTGCATTACTGGTCTTCCTGGGTCCTCGGGCACCAAGCGAGGAGAGAGGAGCCTCAATTCAATACACCACAGCATCCCCATCACATATAGTAGGCCTCAGCTCCTTTTGTACTGCTGTCAGATTTTGAGCCTGTAGGCAGGGATGATCTTATCTTTTTATGTATGTACACAGGGAACATATACGAAGTCAGACCACTGGCTCATCTTAACTCAATATTGTCTGCATGGACTGGCAGCAGCTCTCCAGGGTTACAGGCTGGGTTCTCTCCCAGCCCGACTTGAAGATGCTGCCAGAGATCAAACCTGAGACCTTCTGCATGCAAGGCAGACGCTCTTCCACTGAGCTACAGCCCTTCCAGAAGCCACTGGGAGCATGGCACACACATCCTGGCTCCTCTGCTCGGAACCAAACTGCTCAACTCTCTGAACAAGTGCCTGGCTCAAAGTGGGAGCAAGGCCTTGTGAGGTTCCAGTGCTAGGCCACCTGTGGCATAACACAGGCACCGCAAGGCCACCAGCATAAACACAACAGGTGCATGCATCATCCAGGAATGCTCATCGTCAGGTTGGCTTCAGGGCAAACCTACTGATTGCTCCTGTGCATTGTGTGAGATGGATACTGAATAGCAACTAAGGTTAAAATTCTCTTTACCTTGTGTTTAATTGATGGCAAGGCATCTACTAACTTCTGAAGCCCACTGTGATTGGCTCCAAGCTGCGAAGGGAATGGGAGAAAGAGTATGTTTTTATTCACTGCATCTAGAGATCAAGTGGTTTAGTGCAAACTCCTATGACACTAGGTCAGCCTTCTCTAACCTGCTGCCCTGAAAATGTTTTGGACTACAACTCCCATCAGCCCCAGTTGGCTGGGACTGATGGGAGTTGTAGTCCAAAAGTTCCACAGGGCAACAGATTAGCAAAGGTTGCACTATGCCATTAGCCTTTGCTGGACACAGTTGAAATATTTTCTGGTATTTATTTGTTCCCACCAACTGCATCACACTATGCAAGGGAATGCTGGAAGTTCTCAATCAATACAATAATTGAACCGCCGCAGGGAGGACACATATGCAGTTTGGGTGCTGAAAAGTCCTCACTCTTTCCCCCCTTTCTCTCTTCCCTCCTCCCTATAATTCATTTTTTTCTCCATTTATTCCTTCTTCCTGCTCAGTATGATCCTTGGTTTCTGGTTTTGTAACTGATCTAGTTAACCAACAGGATGTATGCTTATATTACTGTGATATAAACAAAAAGTTAAAAGGTTACTTGCAGGTGGTCATCTGTTTAAAAATCTCAGAAGAAGGAGAGTCCACCACCTTCCGAGACAGCCCATTCCATGGCTAAGCAGCTCTTACCACTGAAAGGAAGAGTTCAGTTGGACGTATTCCCAGGTAAATGTGCAAAGGAGTGCAGCCTTGAAGGTGCTCTTTGTGTAAGGAAGTGTCTCCACACTTTTATAAATGACAGTTCAGAATGAACCACTGGAAGATTACAGGCTTCCCACCATCATACCTTCAAAAAGACTCCAATCACAGCCAAACCATTTTCTTCCATCAAAGCTTCTTCAAAACTTTCATATTTGCAAGAATTCCAGTGTACCAAATGCAGCTGAAATTAAATTCAATCCATATTTTAGAACCGTGAAAGAAATGAGATGGAACAATCTTTTTCTTCAGAAACTGCAATGAATCGGGTATGGTTCTCAAAGACCTTGCAGTAGAGTTCTGAGCCTTCTACTCTTGGCTGCCCAAGAGCAACCCCACAACCCCACCCCCACACAAAAAAGAGAAATGGCCGCATGCCAAATCTTTCCACGCGTTGACAGAACACAGAGGAAATGTCACAGGCCCCAAATGCTTTGGTGAACACTTCTGATTAAGACTCACTGGTGCACAACATTCCAGAATTTCGCGAAAGTATTATGCGAAAGTATCCTCTTACCTCTGCTGGGAAGACCTTACAGTCAATCGTGTGCTCCGAGCCCCATTCATTTATGGCCCCCCAGTGAAAGTGGAATTGCTTCAGCCGGTAGTTGTTTTCTAAGGGGCCTCCTGTAATAACTTGGATAAGAGGGGAAATAATGTTAGGAGGCCAACACTTAAGCCCCAAGCCTATACAATTACCTGAAAGTAAGCTCCCATGAAATAAATGAGATTTATTTCTGAATACACATGGGTAAGATTGCACTGTTGTATCTCTCTCATCCCTCTCCCTCTTAATCTAAAGACATGTGGCAAGTAGGAAGTAGCGGCAGAGTCTGCCTGGTTCTCCTGAAAGTATGTGGATGGCATCAAATAGCAAAAACACAGAGGAAAAAACAAAAAGGAAAAGTGACGCAGATTTGGCTTGGTGCACAAAGTGCATTGTGCTGAAGAGAGGAGGGGTGTTGCAGGATTGGCAAGAATCTTACAGCAAAGTCCTTCTAACTGTTCACACTTCAGAGGGGGAATAAACCACAGCAGGGCTTGCAAAATCACAGTGAAGATGCACATTGTGACTTCTCTGCTGCTGTAAATAGGAGTCTCTGAGCTGGCTCACTGAGATATTATAGGATGCTTACATCCACAGTATCCAAACATAGTCTCTGCATTGATCCCATGATCTTACAGGGATGCTTCTGGAAGCCTGAAAAATATTGGTGACCACGAAAGACAGAGCTATTCCTGGAGTTCTAGCTGAGCCATCTGAACACAAGCCTGGCATGTTTACCGGGAAGTTAGACTCGGTGGTTATGACCGACACCTTCTATACATATAGTAAAGCACACTTGGCATCACAGATTAATTACATTTCTTATCCACACCGTAGCAGCAAGAGATTGCCATTAATGCAATGCAAGAATTCTCACGACTTGCTTTTGCTTAGGAAAAGTAAAATTCTGGAAAAGGTTTTCTGCAGTAACACTTTAGTAATTTAGCACCGTTGCAAGGACTGTTCTTCTGGACTATTTTCCTTCTTTCCGATGGAAGCAAATGTCAAACACATCTGCTGGATACACATCATCAAAGATGCAGAATCTTTGGCACACCTAGCACATGACCTAAAAAGCTCCAGAGGAAGAGAACTGCCGTGTGTGACAGCACCTACAGTATCCAAAGCGGTCTGATGTGCATGCATTATCCCTCCTACTTCACTCCCTATTATTTCAGTTTAATAGATGTAACCATTGATGAAAAGAATGGATATTGAAATATAATTTTGAATTGTTACAAATACTTGCCTGTCTTCCCCAATCTAAACATCCTATGTTATTGCACATCGTAATGTCATTGTAATTACTCTGGCATTCATGCTCTCCCATAATTCTGTCTACAAGTTCAAAATGATATTATTTTGGACTGTTTTATTTTATTTTATTGTTGTAAGTTATACGTTGATATGCAACCAAATCTGTAAGCCTATGCAAATGTATTTTTAAATTTTACAAGAAAATCAATTTTAAAAGCCTAAGTTAGAATTGCCATATGTGGATAATTCCTTACAGAAATAGAGCCCTACATTGTCCCCATTTAGATTTTTCATCACTAGGATGGCAGCTGAAACTTCCATTGGGCTCACATACGAGGACAACCTAATAAAGTTATCTGTTGCTTAATGACGCCAAATCCTTTATAAGAGATTGAAAACGGTATGTTGTTATGCTGTGTTTAGTCTGTTACTTGCTAGTTGCCATTCCTTTGGCTGACTTTAAAAAGGGGTAATCTACCTATGTGAGCCCAAACATAGGACAGTGCACCCTGCACAACTAAAACCACTTTCCTCCAGGATGTATAGAGAAAAGGGTTTGTGAGCATCTGCAGAGAATTGTGGATGAATGTAGCAGAAAATGAGGCTGAATATGACTGCCCTCTTGTGGTAAAAATAAGTACTCGCGTTCTTAAGTCATGTGCTAGTACAACAAAAACATGACTTCTATGTTACTCGGCAATTTCTATACATGCGTGACTACAAAACAAGCGTGATTCTGCAAAAAAAAAGTGCATATGCAGACACTGAGCAAAATTCCTGAGATGCTTGCTGCCCTCTCATGCCTTATCCACTTGATAGGAAGTGCTGAAGGGTCAAAAAGCGACGTCGCTACCACATGCTTGTTTTTCTACCACATGCTAAATAAGCAGTTCCTAAAGTTTTAAATTAAGGAGAATGGGAGGAAATGCAATATAATGTGGTCTCTTTTGCACCATAGCCTGTATCTCTAGGTGCAGGTGGGGAAGTCCCTGTATATTCTGACAGAACAATCCTAATTACAGAAAGCCAGTGTAAGTGACTCCTCCATGCAGGAGGAATTTGACTGCTTGTCAGCTAAGTTCCACTGGGTTTCCAGTCACAGACCAAAGTGAAGGAATAAGTTTGGAACAGGTGTAAGTCTCTCCTTGTCCAATGGCAAGATTCAACACCTTCCCATCGAACGTGCTGAGAAATAGATTCTCCAATGGACAGATATCGCTCTTATGTGATTGTAATTGTGGGGCACCGGAATCGTTGCATCACATAATTTTTGATTGTGCTTTTCACTCATCGGCCAGGAGCAAGTTCCTTGCTCAATATCTAAAGGGAATTGCCGATGATACGAATGAAGCCAAACTGAGATATCTATTAAATGATGATGACCCCCTAAGATCACTCACAGTTGCCAGATTCTTGATCAGCGTCCTATCCCTAAAGAAGAGAAACGGACTCCTGTGCAGCTCGGAAAATCCCTTTAAACCATGATCTATGTTTTAGGATGTAACTAGGTGATATCACCACTGATGTCTTCTATTAATTTATGAGCAGAGGGTGATGTTTATGTTACAAATTTATTGTAATGTATGATGTTGGTCTTTTGTTTTTGTTCTGCTTTGGTTCTTGCCTGTTTTTTGTAAGTTTTGACGGTTTTAAATTTGGAGGTTCAAGTACATTATGTTGGTATGGGAAACTGTCGTGTGACGGGCCAATGGCCGTAATAAAGATCAATCCAATCTCTCCTTGTCCCTTCATGTGCCAACACACCCCTGGAACACTGCTTTTGGGAGATTTGCACTGACATATATTATGTCATTTTAAGTTCCACCAGCTGAGCCTAGTTTATGCCGCCATAACTCTGGCCCAGCTGGGGTGGGGGACTTACACTGGGCGCAGCCCCGGCTCAGCCGAGAAAGCTCAGGATCTGACGAATCCAAGTTCTCTCTTCCTGGTGGATCTTGGGCTTGGACAGCACTGCCAAATAGTAACTGCAGGCAATCCCACAATGCACTGGGAGGTGCCTCTAACTCCACTTTGGAAGTTCTGCCTGTCACCAAAAACAGCAGACACCAACACCACAAAGCAACCACCAGAGGGCAACACTGTGCACACAACCACCAGCACTTACCTGCCTTGTCCAACGCCTTTGTTTCTCATTTCCTTCTCTCTCTCTCTCCCTTTGATTTCATTCTACTCCCAGTACTGCAGCTAGCCTCATCCTTGGAACAAATCTGATTTAGATCCCATCTCAGGTGCCACCTCTCTTAAAAGCACGCTCCTTTATTCAGTTTACTGCCATTGTCTTCCTTCTTACTTTTTGACTCTAATCCACTCCTTTTCCTCTTCTCCATCTGTGCAGCTGCCTATTACCGTCAGACAGCAGAAGCAAGGAGAAAGAAAACAAAGGAAGAAGAGAGCATCAGGAGCAGGTGGGAAATAAGAGTAAGTTACGTGTTTAGGAGTCAGAAAGAATCACAAAGAAGAAAAGCATTATAGTAAAGCAAGAACAAGCCTATAATTTAAGTCCCTTCCTAATCCCGCTCCCATTGGAATGAGCAGGGTTTGCAGCAGGGGGACTGCAGCATAGGGAAGGTACAGTTTATTCATTTTGGGGCTTGAGTAATGTAAATGACACTTGGCTGGATGCTTATCATGCAAGTTAAGACATTTTTATGCCAACAGCACAAATGTGTTTGATTTTATTGTCTTGTAAAATGAGCCTCAAGGATGGCCCATCTAACCTTAGCATCCTGCTCTCACAGTGGCCAACTAAATACCCTAATGCAGTGTTTCCCAACCTTGTGCCTCCAGCTGTTTTTGGACTACAATTCCCATCATCCCTTGCCACTGGTCTTGCTAGTCAGGAATGATGGGAGTTGTAGTTCAAAAACAGCTGGAGGCACAAGGTTGGGAAACACTGCCCTAATGGGAAACCCAAAAGCAGAACCGGAATGCAATGGCATTCTGCCCACCTGCAATTGCCAGCAACTCGTATTGAGGCAAAATGCCTCTCTGACAGCAGAGGTAGCATATAAGCATCACCACTAGCAGCTGTCTCTGCTTAGATATTTAAAAAGAGGGAGAAGTTATAGGCATATAATGATTAGATTAGATTGAAAAGAGTGACGTGGATCAGAATGACTTCAAAGCAAACCTAAAGCGTTTCAATGGAAACCGGCAGAGAGCAGCTGAAATTTAGAGAGCAAAAGTTACCCTCGAGGAAGACTAGGAAACTTGAGCAAGAAGGCCGAGATAGAGAATGCAGAGGAACAGGAAAGGAGGGTGGTGTCTGAAGTCAGCCACAGCTATGATAATCATCAAATTTGGAGGGGGTTGGGGTTGGGGAGAGAGACCGCTGTGCAATTTCTCTTAGCAGAAACGAAGGGACAGCATGCAGGATAATGGGAAAAGTGAGTCATATCAGGATGCTAAGATAGAAGAGAGATATTAGAAATGCAAAGCAAAGGTGCTGTTTTCTGCTAGTAAATCTATCAACCTTGCCTAGTATCTCTTCTCCATGTTTAATATATTAGAATCCTGCTTAAGGAGACCCCCAACACAATTTTAATGTTTTCACTTATACTGCTGGATTGTAAAAATGTATCACAACAGTTTACAACAGTATACAAACATCAAACCAAACAATAAAATCATAAAAAGTTAAAAAAATGAAAAAATAAATTAAAAACAAACCTCAATAGACCATTGTGGGGAGTGTACCCTTAATTGCCTGCAGGTCATAGTTATCTACCAGCACGAACATAAAAACCTGTCTTATGCTGAATGAGCCCATCTGGCCCAATAATGTCTACTCTGACTGCTAGCAGCTCTCTGAGGATTTTGGTGGACGTTTCTCAAGCCCCACCCTCCAGGATGCTTTCTTAAGGTGGAGATTACAGGGAACTGGGTCTGTGACCATCTACATCCAAAGCATGCCCTCTAACACTGAGCCACATCCACAGCTCATCCTCTCACAAATATGGATCTGTGAATTCCATCACTGTAGCTAAATGGCCATGTTACTATTAGTACACACTACAGTTTTAACCTCTCCTCCTCTGGAACTGCAAGACAAGCAAAAAGAGAAGCCATAAAAAGGAACTGCAGTATCTAAAATAGCTTTCTTAAGATACTTGATACAACCCAAACACAAGCTCTAAGCTTCAGCCCAGGAAGGTTACTACCAGAGAACGATTATGCTTCTTAAAGAGTGCTGTGATGGGCAACCTATGGCTCATAAATTGGATCCAGGTGAGGCCACACTAGGATGATGCCTTATAGAATCACTAGTCCATCTAGCTCGGTACTGTCAACACAGCAGCTTTAATTGGTATGAGGAATTTCCCTACATCAGGACTTGAACCTGGGACCTTTTGCATGGAAAACATGTATCCCACCACAGGGCTATGACCCTTCTCTAATTTAAACATACTCTTTGCATAATGGCTACTCAGGTAACTGGACTTAATCCAAGTACTGTGTAACACACAACTTACTTAATGAGTGCTGCTAAGTGTTCTAACCACACACCACTAACAGCCACCACAATATTAGTTATTGGCTAAACAGATTATCAAGGTACAGCTTTTGAGGCTCTGTCTTATCTGTTTAAAATTAAAACAACCATTACAGCATTAAGCACAGAGCACTTGGTTCCAGTGAGCTAACAAAACCTGACTTTTCTTTTCAGGAAGAATAAAAAGAGCTCTTCCAATGCCAGAGAAGGCAGCTATATTCAGTTTCCTTCAATTTACTGAGGTTTCAATACAATTCCAAGGGGAACCAGAGAACAAGGTGCTTTGCTAGAACCAAGCACCTATCTTGCCTTCTAGATATTTTCCAAGTACATTATTCAAAAGCTTATCTGTGAAATGCAGCCAAAGTGATAAACAACCTTTTATTTCATTAATGTTTAATGCCAGTGTTATACTATTCATTTGGGAACATGCACACATGAAACCTCCTCAAGGGCTTCCTCTACAAAAATGAATGGGTAAAAGTTGAATGAAAAAGCATCCAAAAGAATGAAAAAAATGCATCCAAATAAAGAACGTCAGCTGCTCCCCAAGTCTTGTATGGATTACAGTTGGGGAGACAAAATTAATGGAAATCATAGCAAAAAAGAATAATTGCTGGACTTCTGGACTAAGATTGCTTGACTAAGACACTGACGGAAAAACTTGCTTGGCAGTAAAGTTCTCTGAGCTTTGTTGCACCCCAACCTACCTCACAGGGTTGCTGAGAATTAAAAAAAACAAAAATGAGGAAGTTTCCAGCTATGCTGCCCTGAGCTCCATGGAGGAGGAATGTGTGTGGTTAAAATGTAATACATACATAACAGGAAACAGCCTTTGTTAAGGATTAGTTCCTACATTGAATGTACTGTAAATATGCAAGTTTCTCAAAAACCAGGGATGGGGAGACAAAACTAGATACTGTATTAATTATCTTAGAGAGAGGATTAGTTAAGAATTTCCACCCACAGACTTCACTCATGAACATTTATATGGCCCTTTCAGGTATAAAACGCGATACAATTCTCATCTGAACAGGGGCCTTTATTTGGTAGGGCTCTGGGGTCAGGAGAGCCACGTAACCAAACCCACGTAATCGGCCTGCTGGAAAAAGGGGAGATTTGAATATAGATCTCCAGACCAAAAACCTGGCTTTTACCCTAGCAAATTAGCAGGGCAATTGTCACTCGTATTTTAAAGATGTGGATCAACTTTCACAAGGGCATGGATACGAGCAAAAATGCAAGGATTCACATGACACATATTTGCCCAGATATTTAGGGAAATGGGAAATAACTTGCAGAAATGTCTGCCAACGTACTTAGCTTTTGCCAACTGGAGGGGTGGCGAAAGGTGCCTGCTAGGCCAGAACTTAACAGCAGGACCAGTGGGTCTTAGGAGTCTGCTCTACACCAAGTCAGATCATTGGTGCATCTAGCTCAGTACTGTCTACACTGACTGGCAGCAATGAATGGGTCTTCAGGGTTTCAAGCAGGGGGCATTCCCGGCCTGAGCTGGAAAAGCCATCAGGCATACAAAGCACGTGCTCTACCACGGAGCTATTACCCTACGATCCCAGGGATCCCCTTAAGTCTTACTTGATTTGTCTGTGGTATCCTCAAACTCAACCAGGAACGAGTATCCGTTGTTCCACATATGGAGGCAAGTGGCTGGATCATAGCGTATTTCAAGGGGTTTAAGATGGGGGTCATAGACGCTGTCTCTCCACTGGATATTGATCGGAGACTGCCGGCTGCCCCCCGGAATTGTAATCGGGCTCTGCCACAGCGGATGTACTGGAAGAAGAAGAAGAGGAGGACACAGGAAGCTTCTCATAAGCTGTATGGAACTCACAGATATGTTTTAGGCTGATTGATCAATGGAAGTTGCTTGGAAGAATAGGCCACAGTGCAAACAATTCTCCAAGTTGTTCTCCAATTCTGAAATGAAGGGGAGTTTCAAAAGCAGTTTACAACGACACATGAAAATTCAAAACATCCCACCAAGCAATGGGAAGCTCTTCAGCTTGCTTGAAGTCCTTCTCTTGATCCTGGTGACAGCCTTCCAGCTGGCAACCATATTCAGAGCCAGCCTGCTTCCAAAAGTTATCAATGAAAGGAATAAACAGTTGCAATTCAGTTTCACACAGAGAATCCGCAATTAGATTTGAACCCCTGAACCTGATGCTCCCTCACACTGTAGTCAACACCTTTGCATTTCCAATAATTCTTTTAGGTTTCTGCACTGATTTTAATGCAATTGCTTTCAACAGATACGCTGTCACATCATTCCCTAATCTGTGGTCTTTCCTGCCACTGCTAAATATCAGCACAATTCCCAAGAAAGCCTGAATGTCAGTGCAAAGGAAAGGAAAGCTGCTTTGGGGAGAAAAGTCTGACAACTGAGTATGGAGCATGGTTGAGGGAGACTTCCAACAAGTGGCAGACTTTTGGCTCTCAAATTTCAGCAGCGCCGTGTGCAATGCTAACATTCAGCACTACACCCCAGCCCATCTCTTGCAATCCATTCTATATCCTGAGGTGCCAGCACCCAGTGCAGCCAAACCAGTTCCACTATCCTCATATCGTACAACCCCATGACTAGGGGACTGTCCCCTATGAGATAAATCCATGATCCATTTTTCCAATCAAGTGTTGCATTTGTGCAATACTGAAAAGTATGTGGGGACCCCAGATGTGAACAACAAATAAGGAACTACGGGTGTGCATTTGGGTCACCCCACATTATACATCCCCTCCCCCAGAAGACTGTCCTCTGCAAGATGGTATCAGGACACACGGCTCTGTGACATTTCCCTGCAAAGACCAGCTGAGACCAAAGGGGGCCACTTTCTAAAGGCCCTGCTGTGCTGTTGCTACAAAACCATGGACTAGTAGGTTGGGACTTGGGGGGTTTCTGAAGTGGGTGCAAACAGGTGAGGAAGAAACTGGGAAGGACAGTGCGAAGTGTGTTGCGATTTAATTTATCAAAAAGTTTTAACTCCTCCTTTACCTAATGAGAGCTGGTATGGTGTAGTTGTTAATAGAGTGTCCAGTTAGGGCCTGGGAGAAACCAGGGTTCAAGTCCCAACTCAGTAATATAGCAATTGGGTCACCTTGATCCTGTCACTACCTCCCAGAGCTGTTGTGAGGATAAAATGAGGAGAACCATGTATGCTGCCTTGGAAACTCCTTAAGAGAAAGGTATGGTATAGATGCTATAATAATGTACATACTGTATACACAACAGCAGAGTGTACAGAATACAAAACAAGCAGTCCACACAATAATCCATCATACAATATTGGGTTGCTAGGGAAAGGGCACAACCACTGAGGTTCAAAAAAGCAGATCAGAAACGAAAAGATTTAAGTTGGGGACAGGTGGAGAATGAATTGAGAGGGGTGTTTTGCGCAGGGGCGAAATTGTAAATAATAGTAGGTTAGGGTTGTACCTAACTAAGCAAAAAGCAACCCGTGTGTGGGGGTGTTAGAGAATGAGAAAAGGAACATGGGGGTGGGGATAATAAGCAGGGTGTGGACAGCTGGGAAAAGAGATGGGGAGGGGGGCGAAGGGGAAATATTAGGGCCTTATGGACCCCAGGTACAGGCCATACTTTTTTTGGGGGGAGGGAATGTTCCTGCAGAGAGAAGAGGGGGGGTCTCTTTTCTGGGGGGGGTCGCCGCGGGGTGTGTCACTCACCGCCGTCCCGGAGGCGGTAGGAGGCGCAGGCGCCCAAGCTGCACCGCCTCACCCCGCCGCCGCGGCGGACGGGGAGGGCGGCAGGACCCGACCGAGGGTCCCTGCCGAGGCGGAGGAGCAGCGGCGACAGGAGACGACGAGCCATGGCCGAGGCGGCAGGAGGAGAAGGCGGCGGCGGTGTTATTTGGAAGCGAAGGGCTCCCTCAGTCCTCGGCCGGCCCAGCCGAGCCAGCCCCTTCCGGGGCCTCGCCCACCATCTCCGCCCGGCAAAGCGCAGCGGCCGCCAGCGGGCGAAAGTATCCTGGGAGGGACTGCAGAGTCATTTCCCCGCGCGCCGCCTGAGGCGCCAAAAACGCTCCGCGCCGGAGTTGGCGGGCGAGAGAAACTTTCCCGGCTCGATCCGGCAAAGCGCAGGTTTCGGTGCAAGTGGCACTGGAGAAACCTAAGGGAAAGAGCGGGGCACCTCCATCCCCTCGAGGCGCATTTTATTAAGAGATTTGGCGAGGGAGATAACCAGGCGCTCCAACGTTTTTAATCGGTCCGATGATCGGATGGCCTGGAGCGCTTTCAGGGAGGAAGCCCCGTTGGATTCAGTGTAGGGCTTACTCCTGAGTAGACACCAATAAGGATTGAGGTTAACGTGGGAGAGAGAGGGCGGCCACTTAGGCATGGCGGGGGGGCGGGCGGGGAGGGAGAGATTTGCATGAAATTATCACTTGCTAATGTCAGATGTGTATCAGATGCAAATTTCTAAATGATTACAATACTGTACTATGATTTTAAAAGGCACGCGAGAGCTCTCACCCAAGGAGGGAAAGGGAGTTTCTCTGCGCCTGCTCAAGCCACTGACTGACTGTTGATAGGCAGCTGTTTTATAGGCCTATAAAACGCTGTACTAACCGCCCTTTCTACTGTTTGATAGGCAACGTTATATAGGCTATCGTCCAAACACACAGTCTTTCATTTCTGGGCTATAGAAAAACTTTATACTGAGAAAGAAGCATACAGACAATTTGATCCTCGCTTTCTTCCCTGGAAATGAGATTAAGAACAGAATTCCTCAAAGAGTTAAATGAAGATTCACAGTGCAGTCCTACTCAGAAGTTGAATCCCGTAGGATTTACTCCTAGATGGGTGTACAGCCTGAATATGGAAAGGTCCTCTAATAAGCAAGGTCTCTCTCATTAGTGAGCTAACTGGTTACAGGTGCTCCAATGACCAGGTGTGGGGGAACTTTGGCTTGCTGGTTGTTACAGAACTGCAACTCCCATCAGCCCCAGAAAACATGCTCAGTGGTCAGGGAAGATGGGAGTTGTGGTTTGTCAACATCTAGAGGGCCAAAGGTTCCCCTTACCTTCAGAATACTATAAAATCCAGGCAGGCTTCATGTTAAGGATGCTGGGAATTGTAGCTCCATAAGGGACAAGCTACAGTTCCCAGGATTCTTTACAGAAAGTATGTGCTTTAAATGTGTGGGTGTGATCTTTGTCTGGATTCCAGTATTTCTTGGTGGTGTTTAACTGTAAGTAAACTACTGGATTAAGAAAGTAGTGTGGTTATTTATAGTGATCAAATTTAGCACATGGCTGTTTAGAATGGTGGCTCTTTCTCTGGGGGAGACACTCCTCATCAGAAGGTATTTGTTATACTGTGATCCTAGGTATCTTTACTTAGAAGTAAATTATGCTGAGTTCAATGGGACTTACTGTCAGATAAGTGCACAGGGTTGTCATCTTAAGTTTATAAACTTATCCTATCAACTGGTGTGCAGTTACCTAAGAGTAAGCCCCTAGCGTTTATTTCTAAAAGAACACATATATAGGATTGGGTGGCCGTGTAACTTCAACTAAATTCTTGTTTTAAAAAATAATATGCAACACTTGTGTTTAGTTTGGCATATTGGTCAAACTCTTGAACTGTTTTCACCTTTTTTAGGTGGACTTTTAAAATTTGTGTTGAAATTATGGTGTAAACTTGAAATACTTATGAAATATTTGTACAGTGTCCTCATCAAAAGACTTGTCCCTTAAAATATGTTGGGTGTTGATAGTTTGGAAGGAATTTGTGCTCTGTAAGTTTCGAAGGCATTTGTGTTCTGTAAGTTTTGCAACAAGGTGGATTTGGACTTTATAATGAGTAAGACCTCATTGTTTTGCCCACTACCACCATTTTTGTTGCTCTTGGACTATTTTAAATCAGAAATGAAACCCAACCTGCTGTTATTGCCCTCTAGGGAGAAGTAAGGATGGCAACTGAGGGACCTCTTGAGGAGCTTATTGATGCAATGACTTGTCCCATCTGCCTGGGATATTTCAAAGATCCTGTGATGTTGGACTGCGGGCATAATTTCTGCAAAGCCTGCATTGTCCAGTCCTGGCCTGAATCTGAGGAAGCCTCTGCTTGCCCTGAGTGCAGGAGACTCTTTCAGCCAATGGACAGCAGGCCAAACTGGCAACTGGCAAAAGTGGTCCATCTTGTCAAGCTGTGGGTGGAGAGATGCACAGAAAGGAGAAGAGAGGTGTGTAAAAGGCATCGGAAGCCCCTGAAGTTCTTTTGTAAGGATGATGAAGCCCCGCTTTGTATGGTGTGTAAACGGACCAAGGCGCACAGCGGCCATAAGGTAGCCCTGTTGGAGGAGGTTGCCCGAGAGCTCAAGGTAAGCAAGGCAAACATTGTAATCTGCTTTATACTGAGGCTGTTTGGGGGAAAGGCCACAGCTTAGTGGTAGAGCATCTGCTCTGCAGGCAGAAGGTCTGAGGTTCAGTCTCCAGGTAGAACTCAGTCTGTATCCCTAGAAAGCTGCTGCCAGTCAGTGTAGACAATACTGAGCTAGATGGACCAATGACCTGACTCCTTATAAGGCAGTGTCCTGTGTCCATGTGGCTCAGAACTGGCTGGCAGCAGCTCTCCAGGGTTTCAGATGGAGAACATTCCCAGCCCTACCTGCAGATGCCTGTAACTGAACCAAGGACTTTCTGCATGCAAAACAGATGCTCCACCCCTGAGCTCTGACCTTCATTGGTGGGATTTGCTGCCACCCTATAAAGATGTGGAGGTGGCCTTGGGTTGTTTTAACTTGGGGGTGGGGGAGGGGGTTGGACGAACAAATCAGGTAAAGGGAAAATCTCCCTGATAAAGCAAAAAACATCATTATTTGTTGTTGTTGTTGTTCAGGAGAAAACCAAAGCCCAGCTGAAGGCTATGGAGGAAGAGAGGAAGAACCTTGAGGGCTGCAAAATTACTCAAGAGCCGGGAAGATCAGAATGGCTGGTAAATGTTTTGATTTATATAGCTTGCACAACCTTGGCACTCCTCTCTCCTGTTTTCCAGCCCCAGGCAGCAACAGCACTGCAATGCCCCACTTCCACTTGGGAAGGGATATTTCTTCCTCCCAAGACTTCCTTCCACTTGGTGCTCCGTGCTGTTCTGCTTCCCCTTTGCTGCTGAAGCAGACAGAAAACAATTATGAAAACCCCACTGCTATGTGGTCTTAACTTTATAAGTTAAACTTGTCCTATTCGGTGTTAAGTGGTTGAAACAAATGACCCCACCCCAGAAAATCTGCGGTAAGAAAAGTTACAGGATTTTAGCAGGGAGCTGCAGGATATGTACTGATTGTAAACTTCTGCAGGCACAAACAGTATTCATAGTAATCACCCTGACACCCACAATCGTGAATTCATGATATAAAGGCTTTATGGAGGGGTCCGAAGCTAATTGCTGCCCTTCTCTTGATAAGAGGGAAAACAAGGGAGAAAGGTAATTTTTCTGGCACATCAAGGAAGTGTCTGGGAAGAGGAAACCACACTGCAGGTCTCTGGAGACCAGGTGATGCACACACCCCACCAAGCATAGTCCATCTGGCCACTCCTACTAGTGAACGCAGACAGAAATGAAGCAGCCCATGGACATTGCGAAATGAAAGGGAAGCACTGGTGTGCTCCAAGGACCCCTGAGTTGCTGGATCTTCCATTTGCACAGGGAGATGGCACTATCAATAGATCTTGTCCTGTCCAGCTCTGGGATTATGTCTCTTTTACTGGAGCTGTGGGAGTTTAATATATATAGTGGTACCTTGGTTCTCAGACTTAAACCGTCCCAGAAGTCCGTTCGAAACCAAAGCGTTCCAAAACCAAGGCGCACTTTCCCATAGAAAGTAATGCAAAACGGATTAATCTGTTGCAGACTTTTAATAACAACCCCTAAAACAGCAATTTAACATGAATTTTACTATCGAATGAGACCATTGATACATAAAATGAAAGCAATAATCAATGTACTGTACTATAAAATAAAGAAGACAGTATTGTAGATAATTAATTTTTTTTCTTATGTTGTAAGAAAAAACTGCTCCTTTTCCCTTATGGGGTACCCAAGAGCCCATATATGTAGGTTCCTTATGTAGGTTTTCTATTGGTAGGAGAAACAGAGGCCAACCAGAGAATATTGAGAAGCAAAGCAGCTAGTAAGCCTGATCTTTATTAAACTGATGCAACAGGGTGCTCACCCACCCACCCCCTGCAGGAGGGAGGAAGAACCCAGAACAAAGGTGTGCAAGCCCTTATATAGACTTTTGAAACTGCCACCCTGTAGCTCAATACCACCCCCCAATACATCATACATACATCACAGAAGGGGCTGTCTACAGCAGAATCCTGTCTGGCAGGAAATCTGTTAATGGGTTTACCTGGAGAGCCTGGCCATTCTTTTGTGATGATAAATACTTAATTCCTTAGTCCAGGTCACAGGCTCACCCTATTCATACACAGATATACCCTTAAGACAGGATTTTTGAGCAAAGAGACAAGGGGGAGGCTTTCCCATTTCCTTCCTCCTTGCAGAGAAACATTTGAGGTCAATTTGGAGGAGTCAAAATGGTTTTGGGATTGCTCTCCTGTACTATTTCAGACACGTAGTTTATATACTTATGTATGTGTTTGCCTGGTCAATTTATGAACACATAGGAATTCTATATATTCTCACATATATAAATCATAACACTTACCTGCACTGATGATAGTCATTGTTTGGATGGGGGGGGGGGGCTTTTATCCATTTCCACAGTCAATCAATCAGTAGCTGAACTGGGTTCCACACAGTCACAAAAACAAATTAACCAAAAAAGCCTCAAAAACAAAAACGCAAAATAAATAGCAAAAAACAAAAACATCAAACTTAATCCATTCTGGAAGTCCATTTTACTTCCAAAATGTTTGAAAACCAAGGTGCATGCAGCTTCTGATTGGTGCAGGTGGCCCGGAAACAATAGCTGACAGCCTCATCGGACGTTCAGCTTCCAAAAAACATTCGAAAACCGGAACACTTAAATTCGGGTTTTTGGCATTTGGGAACCAAGGCATTTGAGTAGCAAGGCGTTTGAGAACCAAGGTACCACTGTTTATCTTAATAACTAGCCACTACCTTCTCTTTGTCCTTGACTTGCCTCTACTAACTTGAAGGGAGTATTTTCTGCTCTCTGCGAGGCTTCCTGACCAAATCCATGTGAAGTTTGAAGAGAGAATGTTTTGTGAATCTGTCTGCAACAGCAGATGCTGATGCATCCCCTGATCTCACCCATCCTTCTCCTTTTCTTTCTCTGCCCTGCAGAAAATGTGACTGGACCCAGGCATAGCGCCCTATCCCCTGTCAATCTTTCTGAGGACCCTAAGGGTGTGAGACGCAAGGCGTAAAAGATTTGGAACCTGCCTGTCCACCCTCTGATGTTGTACAAAACACAAAGGAATCCAACTCCCACGAGCATCACTCTGAAGACAGAGGGACCACCAGGTTGTGAGTCCTCGGAAACTTTAGTCCCATCCCATAATTCAATGTGCATGTTCAGTCATGGGTGGGGAGATGGCAGGCTCCACCTCCCCACCTGTAAACTTGCATTTGAACTCCCATGTAAAATTCCCACGTAGAGGGATCTGTTCAGGAATTCAAATGCACAAACTGAGTTACGAACCCTATGCTTCTGTTGAGGAAGCCTTAATACTTACGTTTACCTAGTTCATTCTAGGTTCTTAAATTCCTTCTAAACTAACACTTTTGCCCAGGGAGAAGACTGGTTTTTTTCTCTGGACTTTTAGAGGATTTTTTAGAACTTTAATTTCAGCCTTGCTTTGTGAGGTTTGGATTGATCCCTAAAATAAACTGTTGGGAACAATTCTTTAACATGCCTCAGGCAGGGAGTAAATACACACCTTAGTGACCAGAGTCCTTTACTTGCAATGGTTCCTTGAGCGAACTGATAAGTGTTTTAATGCCATCTCATCCATCTTACATTTTTATGTGCTCATCAGATATTCTGATCAAGTGGCATCTCTTTGCTGAGGTTTGTTCTTATATATTTGTGGGGTGGGGGTTGGTTACATATGAGCACTGAAAAAATAAAAATAAAGCTTTTAACAAACTAAGCAGAAATGTATCAAATTGCTGCGTATCAAAGAGAAACTCTTCCATGATCACTCTGATGGCTCTTGCAAGAAGATTTATCTCCAGCACTCAGTTGTCTAGAGATGTTTGAGAGCCGGATGATGTTTGAGGGAGTTGTTTCCTCCAGGGGCATAGACCTGATTGCAAGCAGAGGGAGAGACCCACTTCAAGTGGGAGGAGGGAGAAACACTTGGTCAAAACTCTGTGGATTAAACAAGCAAGGAGGCCAGGGTCTTAGTGTGGGAATGTTCAGGGAGGCAGGAGAGGATATATTGTTTAATGATATCCTTCCTAACTTGTGTTAGCAAGTTCTGTATCTTAGCAGATACAGAACATTTTCCTTTAAACACACAGCGGTTTGCTTGTTGCAGGCTCGTCTGAGCCTCTCAATACCTCAGGTTACATACGCTTCAGGTTACAGACTCTCCTAACCCAGAAATAGTACCTCGGGTTAAGAACCTTGCTTCAGGATGAGAACAGAAATCGTGCTCAGGCGGCGCGGCGGCAGCAGGAGGCCCCATTAACTAAAGTGGTGCTTCAGGTTAAGAACAGTTTCAGGTTAAGAACGGACCTCCAGAACAAATTAAGTACTTAACCTGAGGTACCACTGTATAAGATTCCTGGTAAGATCCCTTATTGTCCCTTTTAAAAAGAATAGAAACGGCAATCTTATGAAAGTCAGCATAAAAGTAGTTTACTCACAATCTTTCAGTTCACAGTTAGATCCCTGAAGGCAGACTTAGGTTGCAAAAGTACAGATCTACATGAACTATCCCATAAAGGAGTTAGTCCCAAGTGACTGCAACTGAGCAGTCACTTCTCCTAACACATAGGAAAACAAAATGGAGAAGAATGTGTGCTCCTTCTTGTCCAGATTTGGCCTCTCTCTCACGCACACAGGCCTCTAGTCACATGCAGAGGAAGTTTGCCACAGCTCAGGAGGAAACAGGAAGTTTTATCCTGACTGCATACAAAGCACCCCCTAGCATGTTCATTCTAGGAATGTTGTACTTGACTGCTATATGTTTCACATCCCACACTCAGAGGCAGCAGCAGTAGGGGATTTCTGTTGCCTCTGCGCTGCACTTGTGGGCTTCTAGTAGTAGAGCACTTTTTGCATGCAGAATGTCTCCCAGGTTCAGTGCCTATGGGCCTCTCCAGGACTGGAAGAGACCCTTTGGAAGAGACTCCCAGGGCCCTCAAATATTTTAGTAGGGGGTCTGAAGGGACCTCGGACTCTAGGAGTTGGCTCCAATGGAGCGAATATTCATTCAGAGCTTTTAAAACGTGTTGGAACAGTTCCTTTGGATGGAAAGAACATCAAAGGGGAGGGATTACACTGAAAGAAAAGCATGTAAGGTTAAAAAAGAGGAACCCATTTGTTTTATTGCTGGAAATATATGTTGCTTGAAAAGTTTGCCTAAGGACAAAAGTAAGGGAAAGGGCAGGATTGCACCATTAACTGATAAGAGCAGTTGTGTTCTGTCTACCTACGCAAATAGCTGAGGACAGATGATCGCTCCTGGGATTCCCTTATCATGTGGATAGACAGGAAACTGGTTTTTGCCCACACTACTTAAATTAACAAGTTGTAGCAGTAGAGTGGTTCAAAACTACACACCTAGTAAAATTATCCATTTCATAGTGAGTGTGTGAAACAGTAACGAAAAGTCATGAGTAACAAACTTTCCTCTTTGTGTAGCAAGCAATGAATGTGCTGCGTTTCCTGGCTGCTTGCCATCTGACAGATTTCTGTGTTATCTGGCAGGTTGCTTACTGACAGCACAAGCGGAAGAAGGTGGTCCAAAGAAAGTAAACAGAAATAATTATTTTCTAAAAGCAGCAGGAGGTGTATCTGTTCCCCCAAAAAGCCAGAGGAGCAAATAGGTGGGATAAACGGGTTAAATAATAACAATGAACGTAGCAAATACAGACAGTGGGTATGTTGTAATATTTGTCTGGCCCGAAGTCCCCAAAAGTAGAAGTAGCACTTATTACAGTGAAGGGCATACAGAATAATAGTGGTTTTTTTTAAAAAAAAGATTGGCTATGTTTATGAGAGCCTGCTCAATATGGTGATTAGGACAATTAATGCTCTTTCAGAGGGTCATCCCACCCCCCACCCCCATCTTAAACTTCAGTAGGCAAGAAACAACCTGGAGGGAACAGTGATTTCAGTTTGTAGCGTGCTTGTACTATTGTAAGTTTCCATCAGGGGCTGTGTTTTGTCAGTGTCAACATTCAAGCATGACACACAATTATCTTGACTCCGTGAAGTTGTGTTTTAAGCTCTCTGTACTTTTCCATGTCAATGTGAATTCATATTTGCCTAATATTGTGGCTAGAAAATATCTGAAAGGGCATTCAGTTAAATCTTCCGCTGGAGTAAGAACTCTGATCCAAATTGCAATATTTGGGGGAGGTGAAGAAGAAGAAGGGAGAAAAAAAGGCATGTGCTTTTTTAAATAAAATACTTTTTTAAAAAAAGTTTTTGTAGCAAAACAAACAAACCCCTGAATAGGATGTGGGCAGGGGAAATGGAAACTGTTCCTTTCTAACAAAGAGGCTTTTGGACTTCCGGCGAGGCAGCATGGCGGCTGCAACAGCAGAAAAGAGCTCCTGAAGCCAGCCAGAGTAAAAGGCTCTGTCTGGCCACCCCAGGGCTCCCAAGTCTGCTGCCGCCAGCACCAACAGCGGAGAGGAATCGGGGGTGCCCAGGCATCTATCAAAGGAGCCAAAACACCCCCCCCCCACGACTGAGATTGAGCCGGAAAGGCACCCGACCACCCCCCCAACAGCAGAGAGGAGCTCCAAAACCAGGAGGACAGTGGAGCCAACACAAAGAGGGAGAAAGAAAGGGGGAGAGAGGAAGAAAAAGAAAGAAAAAGGAGCCCCAAACTTACCGCTGCCGCCCCCATCTCTGCCGAGGAGAAAGCAGAGGAGAGGTACGTGAGCACGGGAAGGCAAAAAAGGCTCCGAAAAAACAACACGTGGCTGAGCCCCACCGGGAAACACAAAGAAGCAGCATAACAAAGGAGAAACTAGCTTTTTTTTCCCTCCCCCCCTCTTTTTTTTTTTTAACCCCCTTCCTTTTTTTAACCCCTTCCTCCCCCTCCCTCCCCCCTTAAAAAAGCAGGGGAGAGGTAGGTGAACACGGGAAGGCAAAAAAGGCTCCGAAAAAACAACAACACGTGGCTGAGCCCCACCGGGAAACACAAAGAAGCAGCATAACAAAGTAGAAACTACCTTTTTTTTCCCTTCCCTTTTTTTTTTTTTTTTTAACCCCCTTCCTTTTTTTTTAACCCCTTCCTCCCCCTCCCCTTAATATATATATATATACCTTTTTATCCCTCCCCCCATATACCTACTTTTATCTCTTTTCCTTATAAAAGAGGGTCCACTGCTGCTGCAGCCACCCTTTATTTGAATCTTTACCGCTGATATTACTATTTCAGACACGTAGTTTATATACTTATGTATGTGTTTGCCTGGTCAATTTATGAACACATAAGGAATTCCTATATATTCTCACATATATAAATCATAACACTTACCTGACATGATGATAGTCATTGTTTGGATGGGGGGGGGCTTTTATCCATTTCCACAGTCAATCAATCAGTAGCTGAACTGGTTCCACACAGTCACAAAAACAAATTAACCAAAAAAGCCTCCAAAAACAAAAACGCAAAAAAATAGCAAAAAACAAAAAAACATCAAACTTAATCCATTCTGGAAGTCCATTTTACTTCCAAAATGTTTGAAAACCAAGGTGCATGCAGCTTCTGATTGGTGCAGGTGGCCGGAAAACAATAGCTGACAGCCTCATCGGAGTTTCAGCTTCCAAAAAACATTCAAAACCGGACACACTTAAATTCGGGTTTTTGGCATTTGGGAACCAAGCATTTGAGTAGCAAGGCGTTTGAGAACCACAGGTACCACTGTTTATCTTAATAACTAGCCACTACCTTCTCTTGTCCTTGACTTCCTCTACTAACTTGAAGGGGAGTATTTTCTGCTCTCTGCGAGGCTTCCTGACCAAATCCATGTGAAGTTTTGAAGAAGAATGTTTTGTGAATCTGTCTGCAACAGCAGATGCTGATGCATCCCCTGATCTCACCCTCCTTCTCCTTTTCTTTCTCTGCCCTGCAGAAAATGTGACTGGACCCAGGCATAGCGCCCTATCCCCTGTCAATCTTTCTGAGGACCCTAAGGGTGTGAGACGCAAGCGCGTAAAAGATTTGAAACCTGCCTGTCCACCCCTCGATGTTGTACAAAACACAAAGGAATCCAACTCCCACGAGCATCACTCTGAAGACAGAGGACCACCAGGTTGTGAGTCCTCGGAAACTTTAGTCCCATCCCATAATTCAATGTGCATGTTCAGTCATGGGTGGGGAGATGGCAGGCTCCACCTCCCCACCTGTAAACTTGCATTTGAACTCCCATGTAAAATTCCCACGTAGAGGGATCTGTTCAGGAATTCAAATGCACAAACTGAGTTACGAACCCTATGCTTCTGTTGAGGAAGCCTTAATACTTACGTTTACCTAGTTCATTCTAGGTTCTTAAATTCCTTCTAAACTAACACTTTTGCCCAGGGAGAAGACTGGTTTTTTTCTCTGGACTTTTAGAGGATTTTTTAGAACTTTATATTTCAGCCTTGCTTTGTGAGGTTTGGATTGATCCCTAAAATAAACTGTTGGGAACAATTCTTTAACATGCCTCAGGCAGGGAGTAAATACACACCTTAGTGACCAGAGTCCTTACTTGCAATGGTTCCTTGAGCGAACTGATAAGTGTTTAATGCCATCTCATCCATCTTACATTTTTATGTGCTCATCAGATATTCTGATCAAGTGGCATCTCTTTGCTGAGGTTTGTTCTTATATATTTGTGGGGTGGGGGTTGTTACATATGAGCACTGAAAAAATAAAAATAAAGCTTTTAACAAACTAAGCAGAAATGTATCAAATTGCTG